ACACTTTTTAGACACTGCAAGGGTACTGTTTAGTTTCGTCCAAACATATGACAAGCAGACTATAAAGCAATGAGTGCCAAGGCACCCGGTTTCCATTGCGCTGTCTGAGGCCATACTACTGTGAGGGTTACTTGGGATAAATTTAAGTCCTACCGCACACAGGTCTCTGCTCTCTTCATCTCAGTCACAAAGAGAAGCGAGGCACAAACACAGCCGCTCTGTACAGACTTCTTTGGCAGACATCTGCTCTCAAATTGGTCCAAATGTTGCAGAACTTACCAAGATGCTCCATCCACCAATATTTATGTCGGATGCCGTAAGGCTAGTAATAGGTGTAAGCAACGCCTAAGGAATGCTTCGCCCAATTTAGTGAAAGGTGAAACAGAAGAAGCTACAAAACATCCAAAAAGAATCTTCGCCTGTGTCCAAAAGCGCTGAGGGTTGAGCACGTCAATTCTATTTTTGCTGCCTTATGGTGGTTCTCGTGCGCGTACGGGATACGACTGAGCCTGCCTACCTAGTGGGAAATATACTACAGAGTGTTAGGAAACCAGGTTGGTAAGCGTTGAGCTCCTATGCGGGAGCCCAAAGGGTTTGGGCCTAGCTAAAATTAATGTACTGGAAACAGAAAGGTGTAGACTGTTGCAAGGGTTGAACCATTTTTCGGTAACTGAAGTTGAGTTAATGCACCCGAAACTGTTTCAGCAATCGCTTGACAGCTGTGCATTTCCTTCCGAGTAAAAGCAGGATGTCAATTGCCCCTTCTTTAAAAACGGAAAAGATTCTGTCCTCAACTTACAGGTTAGTTAGCCTGGCGGGTGTAGAAGTCAAACCGCACGAGAAGCTAGTGAGAGGTGCCTTGGTGGATCATGCGAGTAGGTTTAATCTACTTAGGAAGGCACAAAACAGATTCCGGAAGGGAATTGCCTGTCTGCCAAATCTGTTAGCAGCTAGCAAAAGTTGGGCGGATGCAGTGCATAACGACTACGCACTGGAACTTATTATCATTGACTCCTCGACGGCAGTTGACAAGCTACAACGTTTGAGGCGCGCGCAAAAGCGGACTTCCTATGGATTATATGGCTACATCTTTCATTGTGTGCCTGCCTCCTTGGATGGTAGAAAACTGTGTGTAAGGGTATGTCATCACCTGCCGTTTAGGCAGTAAGTCCTCAGTAGCTTTCTGCAAGCCTCGGTCCTTGGACCGCTGCTATGCATTATCTATGTGAGTGACCTACCCGCGGAGCTTGAGGTACCATCGCTGCTGCTTGCTGCTGATCTGACGTTGTGGAACATTGTCGATGTTCCTGGAGGTTCCGAAGCTATTCAGCGAGCCTTGGATAAGCTTTGGGACTTATGTAATTTATGGTTACTGCCTATAAATCAGGCGAAGTGCTCTGTGCTTCGAATGGGAGGAGGTTGTCTTCCTGCAAATAGCTTGGTCGTTGGGGAAGAATTTCCCGTGTATCTAGCCGGGTTGATCTACGCTTCGTACACTCCTCTGCTTTGCACTCCGGTGACGACTGGAAGGAGGCCGCATGCGGAGGTTTCCCTATGTGGTGGTTATTGCAACGTTCATGCGGAGTCTCGGCGAGCGACAATTTCATGAAACTCTTCTCGGCTTTCGTTCGGCCTCATCTGAAATAGTGCGTTAAGGCTAGTCCGCCCTGCCTCATCAAGGACAAAATAGAGCTAGAGTCGGTTTTACGGGTGGGTAGTAGGTTAGTTGAGGTATGACGGGGACGGACATGCTCCGGGCTTCTATTTAGTTTGGGAATGCACGTAGTGCACTATCAAAGGCTTATAGAAAACCTACTCCTAACCTAACGTACCTTAACTGGGAAGGTTCGTCCAGGTTTATCTTAACTTTTCAGTCCCGCTGGATCGTCTGTTCTACGCGGTCATACCTTTAAGCCAGACAAACCGCGGCCCGATCGGATTAATGCGGAAATTCGGCTGTCACGCCAAATCATCAGCGGCGGGAACCTGATTCCGGAAAGTGCTATCAGGCACTCTACGGTTAAGAAGGTTGAGCGGCAACTTGCCCCACTTAGGTGCAACCGAAAACCTTTTACTTTCCCTGACTAACTTGCGTGTCCATACTTCGGTTTGCTTTTACCTACTTCTCTTCATGCTTTTTATTATCATATTATTTCAAGTGCACTTCCTTAGTCTGTACCGTGGAATTCTTTTTCTATCCTTTGCTTACTTCTGTGATTGCGGAAGCAGGGACTGCTAGGCCAGGAAACTTGGGCATTAACTAGTTGGCCAGGGTGCGGTACGGGTTTTGCTTGTTAGATCCATGAAACACACTGAGCAATTTATCGGGTTCTGCCTCAGTGCTGCGCTGGACCAGTGCGAATGGTTCGCTGTGACCTACGTCATTAGAGAATCACATCCGCTACTGCAATGTTATTTAACGGACAGCTGCGGCATTTTATTTGGAGAACGCTTGTCAGTGGACAATCCAAAACGTTCTGCAATACTGTCTATTTATTTTGTACGGTAATGCAAGCTGACAATGCATCACACAAACCAATTTTTCATTCAGGTATTTGCAGTCGCTTGGCGACCAGATATGGACTTGGCTGATTTGCCAGATTATTTAGGATCCCCCGTCAGTCGTTGAAGACCCCTGCTAAAACACGAAGGCGCATTTTCGTCCTTAACGGGGTCAAACCAGAGCAGTGAGTCGGTTGCAGGTACAAACTTGGTCCTCGAAAATAATAGGTTAAATAACAACGCATATTAAATGAGTTAAGAAGAAATAAAAGTTATATCCACTCTTTTTACTTCTACATATTGGCCCGAAACGTGTTCCACATTTTGTTATTATGTATTAACATAACTATGGTTAGTTCTCATTGCGGATTTGAAGGTACTTGCTGTCTGCAGCGGGTCAGTATTGCAGCAGCGAGTCAGCAGGTAATTGTTTATCTAGCGTAGCCTATATGGCCAGCGGTGTTTTTCTTTACCTTCTGATTTAGGCTTCTATGTCTTTGGAGTAGTCACCTTCCGTGCGCGTAAACGCCCTCCATATAGTCACCCCGCGCTCCGTCCTCTGTCAGTATTTGTGCCGGTACCGCTCAGCTAGTCGCGTGGTGTGACAAAAGCGCACCGTTCAACCAGCACCAACACTTACGGACAGGTTTTCCCTCTATAAAAAGCCACATATATCTGCTTAACAACACTGTGTCTAGTCGACATGACACCCACGAAATAAACACACTGCTTCTTGCCATACCAGATTTTATTATGTTCGTGAAGGTCAATCATTTCAAAACCTTCATCTGATCCATTCCTGTATGGTCGATTCCGTTGAACACACAAATCGACAGTATTCGTAAAAGATTCCATCAACGTGATTTATTCGTGAACCCATATTGAGAATACACATATCCACACATATATCCAGTATGTGCTGGTCAACTTACAACGTTTCAATACGGTTCCTAAGGTTGCGCGTTTGTATTAGCATGCTCATGCCTTTTAAGGCGTGTTTCAATCCGTCGAGAACAAACCATATATTTATTTATTTACAAAAACCTGTCGTGATAACCATGACGTAGTGAAATAAGAAAGTCAAACATCCACTATCTAACTCTCCTTTACAGCATGTGCTGGTAAGGAAACGCACGATAAAACTGCTTAAGAAGAAAGTTCGGCTGGTTTTGAGGGGAAAGAAACCCATTAGCCTGAACGTATATGCCTAGGATCAAAAGTTCTTACGTATCAGCACTGATCGGTTGCCTAACAGGTAGCAAAAATCCGGAAGCACTCACAGCTACTTTGTCTGAACGTTCAACGACAGGCTTAATATAGACAGGTTTAACGCAACCAACCCTCACTGCTTCCTTTAATCCATTATTTTCTAGGATAAAGTAGCAAAGCTTCCGTGACGACACCTTGGAGGGGCCTTTGTAAGGAGGCGCAAATCGCATTGGAACTGCATCAATGCAAATGGCAATAAGAGGACAAGCGTGCAAATCCGGATGAATGCGTTGTTCGCGAACAGTGCTTCAAGGAAAGTTGATCGTATGGCTTGCAATTGCTGCGTAAGTCCTACGTCGTCAGAAGCAGTATCCGATTCTTCAGTGACTCGGGAACCTAATATATCCTCATTTGCTAGTCTGAGTCGTGTCAAAAACGAGCTCGGCAGAGCAGCATCAAATATCCGCTTTCATTGTATTACGAAAATTAATTGGAAAGGATGGAATGCTTTCAGATCAACCTGCGTCAGGTGAACTGGTTATGAGTACGGCCTATAACGGAAGACAAAACGATAGAAATGGCCATTTGCAGCGGGCGACCTGGCGGTTGTTAGGAGGATAGTACAACCCCTTAACCAGTTAAAGTCACGGAATAACGTGGAGCTAACTAGAGATGCACTATCGGTAGTGGTCGCACCTGGTACACCGAAAAGCGAAATTCATGGTTCGAATATTCACGAGTGATAAGTGCGTTGGAAGTGTTACCTAAAGAAATCGCTTTTGGTCAACAAATGAAACAAGCCACAAACGTCAGGAAAATGGTGCAAACGTTAGATTGAGGGTACGGTTCATCTAAGTCTAAGTGGACATGCTTAACCGCGCTTTACGAAGTGAGAAAGTTCCGTGGGCAGTGATGGCGTGGCGATGCACTTTGCGGCGCTGACAGCTAACGCTTATCTCATTGCCGGATGTCTACGTGCATGCTAGGCCGAATACAACGATCCATGAGTGAACGCACAGTGGATCGAATGCTTGAATGCAATAATCCATTAAACTGGTAAAACTGGGGAACCAAGGGTATTTGTTTACCATCGAAGACGTATCGGTAAACCGTTGCGTCTGCGTTAAACACAGAGAGTCATAAAAAGTTCAATGTGCTGTTCGATCGAAATTGTGCAAGTTGTGGATTCCTCACTTTGGCAATCTGCACACCCGCAAGGTTAATTGGTCAAATCAGAACGTGGTGAACAGGCGCATGAGACATTGCTTCAGTAACAACATTGTTCAGACTGTCAACGTATCAAATATTGGCACAGCTTTGAAAGATGTACTCTGTGCCAATTCTCTAAAGGAATAGAGATCGGAAGATAAACGAAAGGAGTAGACGAGAGTTTTGTAGTCCGCAAGGCTTAACAAACGTCGTTCTTCAAAGGCACGACGAGAATGTTCGAAAACCGAGTAGAGTTCAAGTCGTTTGGGACCAAAATTGCCGTATCTGGTCTGCGGTGGCTGTAGCTGCCGAGTAAGGTAGGATAATGGTTGGATCTCCTTTCCGAGCAGTTGCTGTAAAACAGCTTGCACAGTGAATTGTGAAGCATCGGTTTTAAGACTTCGAATGGCATGCATACACGGTTTCAACTAGCACAGGCAAGGTAGCTAGCTTAGCTTCGCGTTGATGGCAAGAAATACAGTTTCGGTTTCCGGTGTAAGCGCAAGCCTTTTCGGTTAACTTTAACCAAATTAGTCAGGGGTTGAAGCACGTCAGCACAGCTGTGAACGAACCTTATATACTAATTGATCATGCCGAGAAAACGGCGTGCATTTATAATAGATTCAGGCGGTGTTTAGTCCACGGTTGCCCATGTCTTCTCAGGAATGGAACTAATGCCCTTACTATTGATCCTATGGCCAAGAAATTCAACGCATGTTCGACTAAACCCCTATTTATCGGAATTGGTGTTGTTACCGTGATGTTCGAAACGCTCGGCTTCTTGTCTAGGGTGTTTTAAGTGCTATTTTAGTTTATCACTGGCTACCAGGACGTCGTCATTATAGACGAAAACAAAGTCTAGGCTACGAAGGGCTATGTTCCTAGAACAAAGAAAAGTTGTGCGGTCTTGCGGAGGCCACATTACATGCTGAGGAACTCATATACGCCAAAAGCGTGACAACGGCCGTTGTTACAACGTCTTTAGGTAGCATTGAGTTTTTTGATAAACTCGAACCAACTTGCTCTTAGAAAAAGTAGGTATTCCCGCTAATCCCAATGAAAAATTATGGATATGTGAAATAGTGTGCAGAGCAGGTGTACCAACGATACTAAGCCTAAACTAAGTACGTCGTACAAAACTAAACTAGAGACTACGAACAGATAAACCTTGACTTAACGCACGGTCTGGGCAGAAGAATAAAACGAATTATCCTGTAACCGTGGTTCTGTAAGGCATAATAAATACAGTATATGACTTACGAATAGGTTTTGAAATCGTACTGCAAGTGGGCAGAAACTGTACAGTGTGGGGCGGATCGAGTATTTGGGCAGTGTCACAGTAACATAATGATAAGAATGACCATGAAACCTCAAGGATGTGTCAGTGATCGAGTGTAAGAAATAAATATAAGATATGTTCGCCGCTTGTAAAACACATTAAAGCAGTGTAAATATGCAAGATGAACAGGGAAAAGAGGTACCGTTTCCTCATGCAAGCAATCCAGTTTGGGGATACATCGAAGTTCCTTTTGGACTTTACACTCCCCCGGCGGTTTCCTGTCCCGGACGATGGCTTCCACGGCATCATTCTCTTCTTCCTTTTACGCTTCTAGTAGGCACAGCTGTCTGGCGTCTCTTCGCAATATGTCTTTACGTGTCCTCCCCAGTGCTTGTCGAACCAATTGGTTTTTGCTCTTGATAACTTTCTCTACAACACCCTTAGGCCACCGAACTCTTGATGTGCGTATATCACAAACTAAAACTAACTCGCCCTGTCTAAGATCACTGCTTTCAGTTAACCACTTCTGTCTATTCTGCAGTGTCTGTGGATTTACTCTAATCCACCTACGGCAAAACATTTCAAACACATGTCTTACCTGTCTCCTTCTTCTGCTCCAAACTTGCTGTTCCTCTGCGGGAACAGGCTCATCCCATTCCAGCTTCCTTTTTACGAAACTCTGTAACTGTGGCTTTGCCGAACGTAGCACGGGAGCAATGAAGCCGAGAAGATCGTAAACTGGAGCTGCAAACGGGAGGATGGCTCTTCGGGTCAAAGTTTTCTTAAAACCTTCCACGCATATTAGTTAGGTGGTCCTGGGTGACGTTCCAGTTTAAACCAGGGGCAGTTGTAACACAATCGTCGCGGTCGCATATCTTATTCCGTGAACCTTCAGTTGGTTGTCAGGTAGAAGCGCGATAACCATCTTTCGATTGCTGACCCATTTCGTCAAATGAAGTCCTCCGTCGAATGGAATACGAGTATGGTGTATAACCAGTTCAGTTGCTTCGGGAACTGAAACAACACTAAATAAACAATCATCGACATAAAAACAGTTCTCTGCTACTTGTTTAGCCTTTGTTTGCAATTCACAATAACTGTCAACGATAGCTTGTGGTAATGTAAAGTTAACGCAGCTTGATGACGAAGTAGCGCCAAACGGATGTACAGTCATGTGGTATTCAATAGGGGGTAAACAAAAATGTCCATTCGTCCACCACAGGAACCTCAAACAATTCCGAGCCTTAATAGAAAGCTTAACCTGGTGAAACATTGCTTCAATGTCGGACGCGACGGCGATCGGGTGAAACCAGAACCGTAAATGCATCCCCAATAGACTGTTTGATATATCGGGTCCAGGTAGAAGTTGTTGATTGAGAGAAGTTCCATGGTATGAAGCTTGACAATCGAAGACCACTCGTACTTTACCGGGCTTACGGGGATGCGATACCGAGTGATGGGGTAGGTACCAGGTTTCCCCTTTTTTCTGCTGTTCCTGTACTGGAGCGAGTTCAGCATTTCCTCTAAATATATTTCCTTTCACTACTTTGGTGTGTACTTGGCGCAGTGCGGCAGTTTCAACAAACGTTTCCTCAACATAGCAAGCCTCATCAGTGTGAATTGCCGGTTATCTGGTAGCCGAGGTCTCCCAGCTTGCCATGGTAGCGCAACTTCTTAGTGGGTACGAACTTTTCTTTTAGAAGCTTCCATTGGTTTTAACGCACGCCCGTAGTTCACAGACACGGTTAGTCGTGGACTATCTAAGCCCTCAAATTCTCTTTCATATATTTGCTCTAGTGGTGGATTAAGGTCAGTGGTATCGCAGCGAAGTGAGTTGATCCTCCGTGTTCGATTAACTATCAGTGCTGTGGATTGATCCTTCATTGTCTCGTGCTGTTTGTTCGGTCCCAGTACGATCTAGCCCAATATAGCTTTAACAGCATACAAATCATAAGGATCCCCGCTTCTCTGATCCAATGCCCAGTGTAGGTATGGGTTATCGCAACCAATCAAAAGTTCAATCCTTCCTTCCAGCTCCGGTAACCGTAGATCGGAGAGGTGGGACCATCTGGCGAAATCGTTGTTCCTGTTTCTCGTTCCAAGTTTTTCAAGGAGATGACTGACTGACCTAATTGAATTTAATTGGACCGCCTTATCCCCATCTATAGATGGAACAGTTACACTAACCAACTGGGACTCCACTTGACATTGGCCAGCAACGGTGCTAATGTTAAGTGGAGTCACGAACCCTTGAACCCCGATAACTTGAAGTAATGTTGAATCAATCAGTGAAGTATCTGATCCATTATCTATTAAGGCTAATGTTCGAATGGTGCCAGCAGGCCCAGAAACAAGCACAGGTAACAAGCCAAGCGACATAACAGAGCGTTCAATGTGACTGACAGCAAAACTGGATCCTTCAGTGGTTGATGTTTCGAAGTTGATTCGACCAACGTGGAGTAGCGGGTGGTGCAGCAGCTTACAATTGTTCGACCCACAACACCTTCGTGATCGAAAATTTACTAGGTCATGATTCGGTTTGAGACAGAGATGACACAGTCTATGAGCGCGACAGGATTCAAGACGTTTGTTGAGGCTGAGATTTCGGAACTCATCGTACTGTTCTAAGTAGTGGCATTGTTCACAGGAAAGGCATTTAGGGAAATTTCGTCCTAATGAAGCGGCAAGGTTTAGGCAGTCGGCATATCCCCGAGAGTTTAAGATTCTGCCTCTATCGGTGATGGCCGGTGGTCCGCAGGGACGTGCCGCAAAGGACAAATAAGTACCGACGACGTCTGCGGTTTCGTCCACGAAATCCGTCAAACCAATGAAGTTCGGTTCTCTTCCAGTGCGGATAACTCTGGCGGCGTGCTCGGCTCACTTGAATTGCAGATGGTTAGGCAGCCTCCTGGCTATAGAGCTGATTGTTCTGGACGCGTTCAAATCAGATTCATACCTCAATTGTTTTAACGTCAAGTAGCATAAAGGCTGATCAACAGCTAAAAGAGACAGAGCCGTGAAACCATTGGGCCTTATGATAGGGCCATCAGTTAGAGCATTAATGTGTCCTAGCAATCATGTGGGGCCGTCCGAAGCGTCTGCGCAAAATGTTCATTGCTGCTTCAAAACCTTCACCAGGGTCGAGTATTAAGCAACTTTTGATAGGTACTTTGACTTCGCCACAACAGTGTTGTATCAGATATGAAAGCCTGATAGTTGGATCGGAAGTCGTTCTGGAAACATTGGCTTCAAAGCATTGCATAAACATCCAATAGCGGGCAGGATCCCCATCAACTGTCATCACTTCACGTTTTGGAAGACAGGATGATGTGCTGGGTCCAAAATTGCTGGATTTGCGTTCCGGACACAGGTTACCGTCAGATTAAAGGCCGGAGCAAAACGCCCCCGATTGGGATCGAACGCCAGTACTGTCGAATGCCAACGGACCAACCAACTGAGCTACGGGTGCGACGTGCGGACCCCTATAAACAGGCTTCACAAACGACGAGCAGATGGCAACTTCGGGACCAAGCACACAATCGTCGGCCGGAATAAATCGCGATCGTTCATTAATAAGAGCATCCGACTCAAATTCAGGTTCGCAGTAGTCCTTAGCATTAACGGTATTCGCCTGCAACATGCGCATGTTCGTTAAAGCTGACTCCAACAGGCGAATACGGGATTCAGCTTTTCGAAGTTTCTCAGCATCAGTAACGTTAACATCATCAAAGGAATCACCAGAAACGGACATGGTTGCCCTATTCAAATTATGTACCAACGATACTAAGCCTAAACTAAGTACGTCGTACAAAACTAAACTAGAGACTACGAACAGATAAACCTTGACTTAACGCACGGTCTGGGCAGAAGAATAAAACGTATTATCCTGTAACCGTGGTTCTATAAGGCATAATAAATACAGTATATGACTTACGAATAGGTTTTGAAATCGTACTGCAAGTGGGCAGAAACTGTACAGTGTGGGGCGGATCGAGTATTTGGGCAGTGTCACAGTAACATAATGATAAGAATGACCATGAAACCTCAAGGATGTGTCAGTGATCGAGTGTAAGAAATAAATATAAGATATGTTAGCCGCTTGTAAAACACATTAAAGCAGTGTAAATATGCAAGATG